ACCGTTGACTATTTGGTGGCCTATAGTACAAAAAGAACAAAAGAACAAAACAGAAATACAGCACAGGAACAGGCCTGTGCCGATCATCATGTCCTAACTAATCTAAAAAACGAACATTCTGCCCTTATTCGGTCCATGGCCCTCTATTCATATAACCATCCAGATGCCTTCTTGAATGTCGCCAATGTGCCCACTTCCATCACTTCTTCTGGCAGTGCCTTCCAGGTTCCTATCACTCTCTGCATGAAAAACTTTCCTCACACATCTCCCTTAAACTTTTGCCTTCTCCCCTTGAACTTGTGCCCCCTCATAATTGAAACTTCAACCCTTGGGAAAAGCCTCTGATTATCCACCCTATCTATGCCTCTCATAATTTTGTAGACCTCTATCAGGACTCCTCTCAGCCACTGTCTTTCGAGTGAAAACAATCCTAGTCTTTTTAACCTTTCCTCATAGCCAATGCCCTTGAGATAGGGCAACATCCTGGTGAACCTTCTCTGCACTCTCTCCAAAGCTTTCACATCCTTCTGGTAATATGGTGACCAAAACTCTGCACAATACTCCAAATGTGGCCTAACAAGGGTTTATATAGGAATAACACGGTTCGCCAACTCTTGTACTCCATGCCCCAGCCGATGAAGGCAAGCATACCATATGCCTTCTTAATCACCTTGGCTACCTCTGTTGCCACTTTTAGAGAACTATGGACCTGCACACCCAGATCCGTCTGTGTGTTAATGTTCCTAAGGGTTCTGCCATTTACAGTATAATTCACACCTACATTTGATCCTCCAAAATGCATCACCTTGGATTTGTCTGGATTAAACTCCATCTGCCATTTCTGTGCCCAAGTCGCCAATCTATCTATATCCTGTTGTATCCTTTCACAATCGTTGGCACTATCAGCAACTCCACCAATCTTTGTATCATTTGCAAACTTGCTAATTGGACCATCCCACATTTTTCTCCAGATCATTTATATGTACTACAAACAACAGAGGACCTAAGACTGATCCCTGTGGAACACCACTAGTTACAGGTTTCCATTCTGAAAAACACATTCCCTTTTTTGTGTTTAAAATTGAGATAATAGGTTTTCCCAAACCCTGCTTGTGAAGTCCAATTAAAAAATAACCAACAGTAAATTCTTTAGAGTTAAAACAATATAGAATTTATTACTGTATCCAAGAAGCCATTGTGGGCGAGGCTGTATGGATGACAAGGGGAAAAAAAAGCAAATAGTTATAAATTATTTAAATAAGAGGTCTCAGAATTGTTTCATATGAATTACAGAGTATGATACATCAATGTGGATGTTCTTTTTATTGTCTGTACAAAGCAGTTCCTTCCTTAACTAGCTCTGATACAGTTAAATTGTGTGTGAAAGTGCACCCCACTTTGTGGAAAGGCTGGATGGAATGGCACACAGGTGAGACATCCTCTTCCCCTAGCAGCAGTGAAGACCATAACAACAAACCATGTCAGCCTGATCCACAGGTTAGCCTTCTGGAGAAATGCCCAATAATGTAGGAAGGTTAATGTCCTTCTCCACTCTGCCAGGAGAAGTGCTACCATCTTCTCTCCGATACCTCACACTCTCTCTGCTAATGCATGCACCTCCCACAAAAGCACATCCTCTAACTCTTTGACTCTCATCCGCAATATGTTCCCTCACTCGCTGTCACAGTCCCAATCCTCAACACTACTCATCCTGTATGACCCCTGTGTTGCCTTCTCACTCGGTTGGAACACGACCCCACCTACACCAACAGTAACAGCTGCGCCACCCACTTTCATCGCATCTTTTTCGTTCCAGGAGGAATGGGGCAAAAAGAGTCAAGACATGTGGTGGGCAGCCTGTCTCAGAAAGGCCGCAGTGGCTGACTGACCAGCTTTGTGTCATCTCTGAATAGCACAGGACTGTGAGCCTGATATCTCTGTCTGAGGGGGCAAAGTGTAAAAGGACAAGGCAAGATCAGGATGCTGTTACCATCCAGGGGCACTCAGAGTAAGTGAGCACTATTACAGCAAGCGAAGAGCCGGAGATGCAGCCTGATCCAGTCGATCAGCTGGGTGTGTGTCCCTGAGTGCACATTGTCTTTGCTGCAACATTACAATGACAGCTGCCTGTGCATCCTGAGGTGCAGCATTGAAGTGCAGAAACATCTGTAAGTGGATCGGAGATGTGCCACAGGGATTCTTAGAGGCTCATCGTTGTCAGTTGCCAATATGTGTGGACATGAGGTGATATGGAAGGTACCCAAGTAGCGTCCTGACAGGTTAAGCCCAGTATCTGAAATGGAGGTCTTTTGGAGTGAGTAATGAGGTGACATCATCGAGTACTGGCGCTGCGATTCATCTGGATAGGATGCTTTCTATGGTGCATCTATAAAAATTGTAAGAGTCTTTGTGGACATGCCGAATTTCCTTAGCCCCCTGAGGAAGGAGAGACATTATTGTGCTTTCTTGACCGTTGCATTGACATGGGTGGACCAGGACAGATTTTTGGCAATCATCACAGCAGGAATGTGACGCTCTCGACCATTTCCACCTCAGCACCATTGATACGGACCGGGGTGTGCCCTCCACCTTGCTTCCTGAAATCAATGACCAGCTCCTTCATTTTGCTGATGCTGATAGAGAGATTACTGTCTTTATGCCATGTCCGTAAGCACTTAAGCTTTTTCCTGTATTCTGTCTCATTATTTTTTGAGACCCAACCTATAATGGTTGAGTCATCAGAAAACTTGTAAATGGAGTTGGTGTGGAATTTGGCCACACAGTCGTGTGTGTATAAGGATAATTGTAGGGGGCTGAGTATGCAGCCTTGCAGGGCACTGGTATTGGGGGTAATGGTAGAAGAGGTGTTGTCACCTATTCCTACTGATTGCAGTCTATGGGTCAGGAAGATGACGATCCAGTTACAGAGGGGGAAGTTTAGAGATGAGTTCATTTAGAATTATACTGTTGAAGGCAGAGCTGTAAACAATAAGTGGGAGCCTGATGTAGGTGTCCTTGTTATCTAGATTTTCCAGAGATGTGTGTAGCGCCACAGAGATGGTATCTGCTATGCCTATTTCGCCAGTAGATGAATTGCAAAAGATCAAGGCAATTTGGGAGGCTGGAGTTGAAGACAGCCATAACTAACCTCTCGAAGGACTTCATAATTATGGAGGTCAGAGCCACCAGACGGTAGTCATTGAGGCATGCTGCATGATTTTTCTTTGGCACCAGGATGGTGGTGGTTTTCTTGAAACAGGTGGGGACTTTAGATCGAAGACAGGTTAAAGATGTCAGCGAATAATCCCGTCAGCTGGTCCACACAGCTGGGGACACCATCCAGGTCAGTCACATTTTGTAGGTTTTTTGTTAACCGAAAAGAAGGATCTTTTGCTTCCTGCCCTCTGGTTATTACAATAGAAAACTCAGAATTCCACAGTAAGTTTCTGTCCACAATGTACTGGTCAATGTCACTGTTGGCTGGGATACCTGCTCTATCAATGGGTTTATAATTTCCAGTTCAAAGGAAGCAGAATGTTTTCCAAAGGAAGAAAGACATACATTTATATACCAACTGTCACAAAAGTGCTTTACGACTCATTAAACACAGTCATTTTTTGTGCACAGCAAGTTTTCATTAACTGCAATGTTATTATGAATAGATCATCTGTTTTTGTGCTACCGATTTTCAGATCTATTTTTGCTTGCTATTGTCTTTGTTCTGGGATCTTGTAACTGTGTCAAGCAGTAAAGTCCTCAGTGTCAAGGAGAAGTGAAATTGATGGAGAACAGTGAGTCGACTCCAGGAGTGTGGAACAACCTAAATAGAGGATCCTGATATCTAGCAAAACCCAAAACATCCTAAATCCCACTGGCTTAGAACAACTATCTACTGTCAGAAAATCTCTGTTATCGGTATTCCTCAATCAGGCAGAGGCACAGTGCATCCTCCCACCAATAGATGTGCTGTGGCTGGAGGGATCCAGTTTGCTCACTCCTTATCCCAAATCACTATCCAATGACAATAAGGTCAGTGAAACAGGAGAGTCTTCACACTGATGTGTGTGTGTGAAGTGGGTTAATCCAACACCCAGGGACAGTTGAGATGGAATGATTCTGTATCTAACCTGTGCTCTACCTTTTCTGTGAATGTTTGATGGGACAGTGTCAGTGTGAAGAAGTTATTTCATCTCCATTAATGATTGTGGAGATGCTATTCCTTCAAGTTCATATCAGAGTGTTCCTTAAATGTGTTGAGGGTTTTTGCCTTAATCACCCTTTCAGTCAGTGATTTCTGGACCTCTGGGTGAATAAATTACTCCTCGACTTCTCTCCAATCCTTCCATCGATTACTTTATATCTCATCTTCCCAGCTGTTAACCTCCGCGCTCAGGGAAATAAGACTGAAACAATCCCATTAGCTGCCTCTGCCACTTCCCTCTCTTCCACTAATCCCCTGGACAAACATCAACTAATGCTTCCCCAGCTCAAGCCCTGAACTCACGTCATTTTATAGTTTCTATCCATATGCCCTTTCTGAGCTTTTCTTATCTAAGAAACATATGGCCCGTGTCCCTCCTTGCTGTGCATATGCTGATCCCACCACTGCACATCATCACTGCCTTGGATGCTGTGGGCCTTCCTCTACTGATCTGCTGTCAAACACATCCGAGGATAAACATCCCGCAATGATGCTATCAGTTTGAAAGCCTCTGAGGATGAAGAATGCTATTCCCGCACTAGAAATCTCTGTCAAACATTTACCAGGGGAACTGAGACAGCAGCTGCAATAAGTGAGGTTTTATTCAGATGGGAAAATGAAAAGTTTAAATCCCCACTTGATCTGCTGCTCAATGTCACCTCCATTTCACCGGTCAGTTTCCCAAGCTTCAGGAAACTCATGTTGCTGCAGAAATATTTGGATTGACTGTGAGAGACGTCAATCAGATAGCCCACCCACGCTGCCCATTCTCTCCTCTTCCTCTTCCAGAGCTGGTTCACTTCCTATAGGGACTGAAAACCAAGTGAAGAGATGGTGAGTGAAGGAGCAGCTTTTATACAAATTGTATCCCATAATATCCACACCTATCTTCAGGCAGTCTGACTATCCTGTGGGCAATCAGGGTGGAAATGTCCCTTATGCTGTGTGAGAAGATCCAGCTGAGAGAGCTGTTTACTCGGTGCTTTGTGCTGAACTGTTTGACTGGAGCTGTGTGTTGGATATTGAGTGTGTTTGTTGGAAGCATTTCCCTCTGATTTCCAGGCTGAGTTTTGTTGATGAATCGTCCTGACAATGAGAAGGTGAGGTGTCATTTTCTGGGAGGTGGAGAGTGTCTGAGGTCTGATTTCTTGGTGGTGAGTTCTGTGTATTTGGAGCTGGTTATTATTTTTTGGACAGTGAATGGTCAGTTCTCTCTGTGTGTTGGGATCTGGTTGTTGCCTGTCTTTTCAAATTCCTCCCACAACCCTGTTTCTGTAACTTCCTCAGAAAAGAAAAAGACCACTTGTTTCACGAAGTCAACAGCCAATTGAAAACTTTAGAAGTGTGGTCACTGTTGTAATGTCATCCTTATCTTCCAACAGGTTCATTTTTCCTCATCTTTTCTTTATTCTTTTCACTCCTGGGATGTGGGTGTCACTGGCTGGGCGAGCTTTAACTGCCCTTGAATTGAGTCTGAATGTCATTTTAGAGGGCGGTACGAATCAACCATGCCACTCTGAGTATGGAGTCACAATTAGGAGAAACGTCTTACCTGAACAAACATTTTTCAATCATATATATTTCTACAGTCAATACATGGCAACTATCAGGTCAGCTTTTGAATACCATCTGAAATGAGCACATGTCCCTGGGACATTAGTTTAGGTTGTGTATTATTAGTCCAGTGACACTGCTGCACTACTGCCTCCTGAGACTTGTTTCACTGAATCCTTACTTTGAGTGACTGTCAAAGCCCCTTCTCTGAGTTTCCAGAGAAATTATGAACTGACTGCCTTCCGGGTGTCACCAGGACGATCCTCCTAGAGTATTTAGATTGTTGCAGGATGTGCCTGTTTCTTTTATATTCACTCGGACGATGGGGGCATTGCTGGCTAGCAAGCATTTATTGTCTGTCCTCAGTTCCCTTGAGGAGATGATGATGAGCTGACTTATTGAACTGCTGCAGTCCATGTGCTGTAGTTTGACCCACAATGCTGTTAGGGAGGGAATTTTGATATTTTGACCCAGTGACAGTGAAGGAACGGTGATATATTTCCAAGTCAGGATGGTGAGTGATTTGGAGGGGCACTTGCAGGTGGTAGTGTTCCCATATTTCTGCTGCCTTTGTCCTTCTTAGGTTCTTTGATGAATTTCTTCAGTGCATCTTATAGATAGGACACGCTGCTGCTACTGAGCATTAGTAATGGAGAGGTTGGATGCTTGTGGGTGTGGTGTCATTTAAGCTGTTGAGTGTTGTTGGGGCTGCACCCATCCAGGCAGCTGCGAAGTATTCTATCACACTCCGACTTGTACCTTGTAGATGGTGGACAGGCTTTGGGCAGTCAGGAGGTGAGTTACTCGTCATGGTATTCCTAGCTTCCTACCTGCTCTTGTAGCCACTGTGTTGATGTGTTGTCAATGATAACTTCCGGGATGTTGAGCAGCTCAAACTCATTTGGACTATTGTGTGCAGTTTTGGTTACCACACTACCAGAAAAGAGTTTTCCTCTGATTCCCATTAATTCCAGTTTTGCCAAAGCTCCTTGATGCCACACTTGATTGAATATGGCCTTGATGTAAAGAGCTGTCACTCTCACCTGACCTCTGGAATTCAGCTCTTTTGTCCAAGCGGCAGCAAGGTGGCTCAGTGGTTAGCACTGTTGCCTCACAGCCTTGGGTGACTGCCTGTGCCTGCATGGGTTTTCTTTGGGTGCTGCAGTTTCATTCCACAGTCCAACATTTACAGGTTAGGTGGATTTCCCATGCTGAAAATGTCAGTAGCAACTAGGGATGTATACTATAAGTGGATTAGCTGTGGGAAATGCAGGGTTACGGGAGATAATGGGGTAGTGGGTTTGGGTACGATGCTGTTTGGACGGTCGGTGCAGACTCAGTGTACCAAATGGCCTCTTCCACTCTATAGGGATTCCTTGATTCCATGTTGAACCAAGGCTGTATTAAAGTCGGGGCTGAATAGCCCTGGTGGAACCCAAACTGTGTGTTGCCGAGCAGGTTATTGCTGAGTAGGTACTGCTTGGATAGCATTGTTGATGACACCTTCCATCACTTTACGGGTGATTGAGAGCAGACTGATAGGCCGGCAATTGGTTAGGTTGGATTTGACCTGCTTTTTGTGTACAGGACATACCTGAGCAACTTGCCACATTGTTGTAACTGTACTGGGAGAGTTTAGCTCGGTGAATGGCAAGTTCTGGAGCAGAATTCTTAGTACTATTGCCAGAATGTTGTCAGGGCCCATAGCCTTTGCAGTTTCCGGTGCCTCCAGCTGTTTCTTGATATCACGTGAAGTGAATCGAATTGGCTGGAGACTGACATCTATGAAGATAGGGACCACTGATCAGTCACTTAGCACTTCTGGCTGAAGACTGCTGTAAAAGATTCAGCCCTATCTTTTGTGTTGATGTGTTGAGCTGTACCATCATTGAGGACGGGGATATTTGTGGAGCCTCTTCCTCCAGTTTCAATGTCCACCGTCATTCATGACTGGATGTAGCAGAATTGCAGAGCTTAGATGTGATCTATTGGTTATGGGATCGCTAAGCTCTATCGCTTTCTGCTTATGCTGTTTGACATGCAATTCTTCAATTTGGTAACTTCAACCAGAGACTGTGTTCCCTCCCACATTCTGCCTGGCAATCCTCAGAAAGGACACACTCCCCTCTCTGCTCACCATACTGGCTGCAGTCCTTGGTCTCTGTCTCTATCTCTGTCTGTAAGCTCAGAGACAGAAAGTCTCTTGCCTTTTTTTTATCAGGTGTGATAACTTTGCATCTTGCTCAACAAGTTCCAACCTATCTCCATGGTAACCAACCCACCTGTGGCTCGGCAGAGTTATATAATGTCCTTACAAGCTCCTCTTTTGAAGGTATTATTTTCCTTTATTTAGAAGCAAAGTTTAATACTTAGCAACCTTACAAAGTTTATATTCATGATAGACTCCTGACTTGAACCTTCTCGACAGCTGGGGGTGGGGATTGGAGTGGTCTGGAGGGGAGTTCTACCAGGAGACCAAATTTGATCATCCACTCAATATTTTTTCCTGAAGACACTTTAACATTGTGGCTCGCTGTTGCGTGCTGGGCTACAGCATGGTGTGAATGGAGGTGTTCATGGAGCTGCCTTCTCCTGTTACTTGAATGGTTGTCCACAACTCTCAATGAGGTGTTCTAGGACTACAGAGCTTTGTACTAATCAGTTGATTGTGGAGCTTTTTAGCTCTGTTTATACCTGTTATTCTTGGTATTTAACCTGCATTCAGCCCTTTGTGGTACGTTGACTGGGTTCAAACCTGGACTCTAGATTATCACTGATACTGCTTCTGACCCGCCTATCTACTGGTTTGATGATAATCATGGAATGTGAGATTGAGATGGAATACAATCCTGGAGCTGCTTATGGCTCACTGCACCTCATGGACACACACTTTTGGGATCTGTCCTTAATCTACTTCCTTTGTGATGATGAACGTGGTGAAGGACTCATTCATCAGTTGGGAGGAGAGAGGGAAGTTTTTTTTGAACTTGTTTGACCTGAAGCCATGAGACTCCATGGAGTCGATATTGAGGACTTGCCCACCTGCCAGTGGAATGGGACATTCCCGGGGATGGTCATGGAGGAGTCTGGGATATTTCCAGATTGATATGATTTGGTGAGTATCACTGCTACTTGATCAGTCTGTGGGGCAGCTCTCCTCACTTGGGGACTTGTCCTCAGACCTTGTTAAGAGACTTTACAGATTTCACTGGCCTGAGATCACCTTCATCTTATTCTGACACAGTGTCAGGATTGTCCAGACCTCTCTGATTTTCATCTTATTATTGGATTTTTGTAGTGATTGTTTATCAAATTCCAAAATTAATTAAAATCCCCTTCAGTTCATGCAGTAGTTGAGGTGAAGAGCAGAGATGCCTTTAAGGGAAAAGTAGATAAGCACATGAGGGGGAAAGGAACAAAAGGTCTGCTGACAGGGTGAGATGAAGAGGGGTGAGAGGAGGCTCATGTGTAGATATGTATGTTTTATTTATATATGTGTGTCTGTTATACATATACACACACTCATGTATAAACTCAAGCATAAACACCAGCATGGACCAATTGTGCCAAATGGCCTATTTCTCACTGTATTTCTATCTTTGTAACTTTCTGTGGTCGGATTTGAATTCTGAATCTCTGTGTTGTTAATCCAGCACCCATAGTAATTCAGCTTCAATACCTGATAATACATTTATTGAATTATATTTTAATGCCTTCTTTAAAGATTTTACCTGAAGGCTTTGGCCTTTTCCAACAGCCTGGGGGTGGATAGTTTTGCTCAGTTGCTGTGGCTGATAGCTATAATTTGGATGTTCAGTCTGAGTGAGTGCAGTGCAACTAACATCCAGGGAAGACCAGAACCATTCAGTCAGTTACACTGACGCTTCTGATGTGGGACTTCGCAAACAGTTGGTCGTGATCACAGTGAGGTCATGTGACAAACCTTTGGGGTCACAGGCTCTGACCAAGTACCAATAGCCAAAGGTCCCCTCGATTCTCTCAGTTTATAACTACCTGATCTTGTAGACCTGAATCCTGTCCTAATAAACTTAACAGGAATTTTTGAGTTTTTTTACAAGTAAAAAACTTAAAAATTTGTGAATTAAACAGCATTACCAGTGCCCTGACAGGCACCTGCCCCACAAGGAAATCTGGAAAACAAGGGGAGAAATTTCAAAATCTCAATTGAATTAACTAGCCTGAACCAACTTGATTTAAGCTACTCGTAAATTGATGATCCGTTTTACACCATGCCTGACTGTCTTTTCCATTGCCCTCATGGTGCCTGGGAAGATGGAGATCTTGGTGGAGCAAAGAAAATAGTCACATTGTCACTATCCAGTGTCAGTGCTGGAAACAGAGGGTGTGTGACAGTCTCATGAGGGACAGAAAGGACTTGGATATGATCCCATCCCATACAGGCAAACTGGCACTCACTGTAAAACAGCCTCTAACTGAGGAGTCAGCCCCTTCAGCAAGGGAGAAGAGGGAGTTGGAAGAAATCACATTTCCTTTTCCTGTTTTACAGAAGGATTGCACCGTACTACACCAGAGAATACAGAGAGGATAGACATTGCAGATAGATTCTGACCATCCCCCAGGGAACAACTGTACAACTGTGGGAAGACATCCAGTCCCTTCACAGCATTGCTTAACACACAGAAGGTTGGGCAGTGAAACCATCATCTGGAAGTCGGGTCGGGTCAGGGGAGCTTTGACATATCATCAGATCTGAAACTGGTCAGTGGTGTGGAGCCTTCAATCAGAACCAACCTTTCTGAAGGTTCGGCTGTGGGTGATCGGTCAGGGTAAGGCTGGGAAGAAGTGTGAGTGGGCTCCAAGTGTGCTGAGAGCTTCAGTCATTCATCGAGCCTCATGAACCACTGACTAATTCCTACAGATGAGAGACTGTTTGAGTGTGAGGTGTATGAGGAGGACTCCACAGGCTCATATAAACTTCGAACACCCAAGGTTATGTGTTGTACAGCAACATGGAAGAGAAACCCTTTAAGTGTGAAGTTTGTGCCAAAGCCTTTGCCCAGTCGTCAACCCTTCTGATGCATCACCGCATTCACACAGGGGAGAAACCATTCCTTTGCGAAGTGTGCAACAAATCATTCTCGCAGTCTTCACATCTTCGCTCACACCAACGCGTCCACACGGGGGAGAAACCGTACAATTGTGAGGTATGCAACAAGTATTTCTCACAATCATCGCACCTTCGCTCACACCAACGCATTCACACCGGGGAGAAGCCATTCACGTGTGAGGTGTGCAACAAATCATTCTCATTGTCATGGGCTCTTCTCGAACACCAACCCATTCACACAGGGGAGAAACCCTTCACGTGTGAGGTGTGTGAGAAATCGTTCTCACAGTCATCTGGCCTTCGTGCACACCAGCGCATCCACACTGGGCTGAAACCATTCACTTGTGAGGTATGTGACAAATCGTTCACACGGTTATCGTACCTCCGTGTACACCAGCGCATGCACACAGGGCAGAAACTTTTCAAATGCGAGGTGTGTGACAAAGCCTTCACACGGTCCTCAGGCTTAATGGCCCATCAGAGGCTCCACACAGGGGAGAAACCTTTTAAATGTGAGGTGTGTGATGAAGCTTTTCCAATATCAGCAAGGCTGCTGAGACATCAGAGGATTCACACAGGGGAGAAACCCTTCAGATGTGAGGTATGTGGGGCTGCATTCTACCGATCCTCTAATCTCCTCACACATCAGAAAATTCACACAGGAGAGAAGCCATTCACATGTGAGGTGTGTGGCAAATCTTTCTCAAGGTCATCTTACCTCCTGGTCCATCAGAGGATCCACACAGGGAAGTAAACCTTTCAATGTGAAGTCTCCTTGGCATCATTGCTTCCGTGGCATCATTGACCTCCGAAGGATTTACATGAGTGCAATGTTTGTGGACTCATGGTTGAGTCTTGTGATTTCATGGTACTGGCTGTATGTTCATCGCTGATTGAACAAGTCAATGGTCTGTCTATCAGCATCAGTCCCCCATATGGACGGAGTGATACAGACAGAACTTAGAACTTTGACTTGGATTTTGAGCTAACACAGGAGCCTCTGACAGGTCTTTATTACCAAGTTAAAGGCAAGGAAAGTATTGAGAACAACACCAGGAATTGTTCATTACATTTCTCAATGTGACCAAAGTGAATCACAAGGTTCTGTAGATTGTGCTCCAATAATTTTGATCTCAGAGAAACTTCATTCCAATCCTGCAAGAGCTTCATGATGGAAGGATATAACTGTAAGAGTGGGAGATCTGAAACAGAAACATTCAAAATGTAGACTGGTGTCAAGCAAGGCCATGTGATAGTGACCATTCCATATCTGACAGTGACTGTTCACCCTATCAAAGGTCACCTGCCCTGTGCTGTCTGTATGAAATGCAGTCTTGGTGTGAAACTCATTTACCTTAATCTTCTCATGCCAAACCAAAACTGAACACCATAGATACATGATCTACAGTTGGCAGGTAACTACGGTGTTGTTATTCACTATGCAACAGATTTGTAATCCATTCTCAATATCTTCAATTCTTCCGATACCAGGTTATAGTCCAAGAGGTTTAATGGGTCTAACCAAAGTAACAAGTAATCCAAAACTGTAAAAACTGTTAAAGGTAGCGAGATCATAACAAGTTATCATAACAAGTACCTATGAACACAGCATCAAACGTGATCTTGGATTCATGTCGTGCTACATGTAACCCTACCATACTATTCTGTATCTGTAAAATCCTCCTTACTGCCCTGTTTTGACACCATCACCTTGATAACTTGTTATGATCTCTCTACCTTTAATAGTTTGTACAGTTTTGGATTACTTATTACTTTGGTTAGGCCCTCAGCATATGACTCTTAGACCTATCATCTTATTCCAGTCATTTGGTTTGTCTGCAGCACCATCTTATTTTTAATTTTTTGCAATTATCTCTCTGCCTCAATTAATCGAACTACAGGTCATCCCTTCACTTGTTATTCCATTGTTGATACTTTACTCACACTGTCTGACACTTTTGATTATTCAGCCTGTCGACAATCCACTCACACCATTTGTATGATCTTTTGATAAATTCTGTGCCTGTGTGCTTCTCTTTACTTCACCTGAAGAAGGGGCAGTGCTCAGAAAGCTTGTGATTTCAAATAAATCTGTTAGACTATGACCTGGTGTCATGTAACTTCTGACCTTGTCCACCCCAGTCCAACACCGGCACCTCCACATCTTCAATTTTTGCAATTGTATAAATTATACAACTAACGTTCAGTGTCATTTCTGACCATCAGAATTGGGAGCCAGACTAAAAAACAGGGATTTTAAAGAAACTATTCTCTGCAGTATTCTGAGAGAGTTTCGTCTGATATATATGTGTGTGTGTGTGTGTGTGTGTGTGTGTGTGTGTGTGTGTGTGTGT